TATGTTTGGGTTTTAAATAAAATTTTCTGGTCCCGTGTGAGGAAGCGGGACGCCACACTGAGTTAACGGAGTCATCGACGCCCTCTAAAATGAAGATAAAGCCTAAAATGCTCTTATGAAAATAAATATGCAGTTTATATTCAGCTTTCTCGTAAGACTGATGTGTTCGGATCATTTCTATTAAACTGCAGTTGAACTTGCACACATCGGGTTGTCATACCCGTCATCACCCTAAAACCCTCTCAGTACCCAAACCTCTAAAATTACAACGCCCAAATTTATTCAGCCACCATTAATAATTTTACCCATATGGACCCCCCCCCCCCTCCAAAAGTCTGATAGATCTTGTCTAAACCTTATTCCAATTGCTCTCCCCCCATTTTGGGTGATATTTATTTACTGTCGTGAGAAAATTGCATGTTTGCTCTCAATAATATTTACTTTAAAGAGCTATTTAGCAGTCATTATCTTGTAAGAGGGATAGCACGTATCGCGGTGACGAATCGCGGGGAGGGACGCTATAATACATACTTTTGGCGACGTCGAATTCACGGACTACTGTATCCTCTTTCTGTGTAAAATTGGACTGAGTTACATCAGATGCCTCAACCAGTGAAACAGGACTTCCAAATCTGAAATTCATGCTTCTCTTGCAACATTCAGAGAACTCAATGTCAGCATGTTTACTTATTTATTTATTTTTTATTTATTCATATTTTTGTACTAGAGAAACATGTGCATGATTGTGAAAGTATGCAGTGAGGCCCAGTGCAAACGACCGCTAAGAGAACAAAGAAGTTGAAAAAAATACGAAAAAAATTTAATAGAATGCCTACCACATATTTTACGCGCTCAGGAGCCATTATTTGTGTCTTTACAGATACGACATTTTAAGTGCCATCAAGATTAAAGAATCCATTCTGGATGATAATGGGTTCTAGATGTTATGCAAGTGCCAATGCAAGTATTTTCATTGATCCAACACACCGCTGAGATGGATTCAATAAAATGGGATGCCACATTAGCGTCGTTTAGACCCATCGAAATATCCTGTTAACGTGGAGCATTCTTCACTGAACGCGTTCGACTGATGCAACAAATGGGGCAGGGTGACATAACGCGCGTTCCCCTGTCATAGCTAATGTCATAGCCAGGGCACGCGTCAGGGGGGCGAATGTGGGATCGGGTATTAGGGTTCGTTCACCATGAATCCAACGCACTAGCTACTGGGGACACTCGCTGATGCAATCAGATTATAAGACCAACACGCTTCCTCTTTTTCCAGCATACTTGTATCATCAGCAGTTTTTTTTAATTCTATTCATTGCCAGGAGGAGGACTGTTAGTCTGCAAACCTGACTGCATTCAGCTTTAGCATTAGATAGGCCGACAAAATTTATTGTGAACTGTCCCTTAGACGACCAAACTTAATACGACCTTCGTGGGTCATTAGTCTCGACAGAAGGTGGGGCCCATTGTTGGGTGAACGCTTGCTGGTTACTATCTTAGCTTCAAACAAATTTCGACTCTAAAAGTGATGTTTTGTGCTCCACTGCCTATCAATTCCTGTGCATACTTTTCTTCAAATGCGTGTGATTATATAAAATATAGATATCTGAAAAGGAATATAATCTATTGTAAGCTTCTGTTTTTATCTGTTCTGATACTCTGTGCTTATCCGTCAACAGTATATGCATGTAAATATGTTTTAGCAAGAGATTTATTTTAGAAATCTTAAGAAAAATAACACCTTCAAACACCCCGGCGTCTGTAAGCACGGCCCGAAGCCATCGTCAAGGATAGTAGTTATTTTCGTCAATATCTTTTTTCTATTATTATCATTTTGTGTTATTACCATAATCATTATCTTACCATGATATGGTTGAGTAACTAGAAGGTTATTCGCAAGTCATTTCATTCATGTGAATATAAAACATACCATGTGATACGACCACTTATAGCAGTCTAAGGATTCTTAATGTGTATAGTCTTACATAAGTATACATTTCCTTAATCGACAAAAGTCCATTCATCTCTTTTGGAGTAAATAAGAATGGATAAAAAGATAAATCACGTTTTAGCGTGTGTTAAAAAATACAGTCCTGGTAAGCACCATCCTCTCCATTAGGAATATCCTAGCTTAGCGCTATGTATAATGCTGTAATTACACACGCTCGCACGCACGCACGCACACGCACACACACACACACTTTCTCTCTCTCTCTCTCTCTCTCTCTCTCTCTCTCTCTCTCTCTCTCTCTCTCTCTCTCTCTCTCTCACACACACACACACACACACACACACACACACACAAATACACCGCTGTCGTTAAAACACGGTTGATTAATGACACTTTAATGGTGATCGTAAAAGGGCTGACCATGCCCTGGCCTTTTTTCCCCCTATAAGTATGGTTAACTATGCATTAAACTGGCCTTATCATTCCCCCTCTCTCTCTGTTCTGTAGCCCTGAGGCAGATAAAACAGTTTATGCCTTACTTAAATTTTTTCAATATCTAAAGTAATTTCATTTATGTAATAATCCGAATGTGTAGAAAAGCCATTAACCGGTAAAATCTTAGTCGGCGTATGCCATTATCGAAATAGCCTGCAAAAGTATAATAAAACCTATGGACAAAGTGCAAAAAATTCTTCCACCAGTATCAAATATCTGGTCAGGCACTATCATCAATAGGGCTACTAGGCCATGTCACATTGGGAGAGTAGTGGGTCCACTTTATTTGAATTCAGCATCTCCACTGTTAACAATATGAATCTAGCGACACACATTCTGACACACATTCTTTGTCTGTTTGTGTGGGGATCGCCTATGGAGACCTTTTTAAATAAGAATCATCAGAGGATATAAGATCCAATCGCATTTTATCAAGAAAAGTACATTGATTTTCCATATGACATATGTACGCTCGTGCGTGCGGGTGCACAAGCACAGACACAAACTGACAGCCAGCCAGACAGACAGACAGACAGACAGACAAACCCTTGCACACACAGAAACACACACTGGAGAATGCGAGTGTCATGCACGTGTCCATATACGAGCATGTTGTCCCTTGAAGAATATTGCCCAGTTCATGCTTTCGCAACATAAAAAATAGGAACACTACATGCTGTTATGAAAAATTTTAGAAAAACTTGTTACTGATTATATTTCAGGCTGCTCAAATCGATCCGTCAAGTTCCCTAAGCTTAATGCTTACCCTTTCTATTGTGTATATGTACAGATATATTGCGCTGCTATTTTGTTTTCTGTTTCGGCCACTAAAAATAAACAAAAAAGGACCCCACAAGGTTTAATTCAAAGTTTCTCTTTTCATACGCGCTTCTATTGCATCTCATGGGTGAGTGCATGCGTTCCCCTCTGCAATATTTAATACATATAATCTTAAGAACATGATGTTACCGTCATCGCCGTTTCGATGTCAACGGCCTCAGAGTGACGTACGGAGACCGCTCACCCCCGCCCCCCCCCCAACAGCCCCTTAGCTGTTTAAGATCATGACGTTGTCATTTGTGTAAAAATTATGCGTCATGAAAGTTGTGCCCAACTTCAGCGCAGGAATATTTTTACATACTAACAATATTCTCCCCATTAGTGATGGAAATTTAACGTCAAAAGTGCACCACGCTCTTTTTCATTAGTGAGCACCCACCCTTCAAAATGACAAAATTATAGATACTCCTATCTATGCAACGTGTCTTCACGTATGGAAGTCCCTTAAGGAAGAGAAAATCTACAGTCAAGTCACACTATCTGTAAAGGATGACCCCCCTTCCTCATTAATAAGGATATCATTCTCTCTCAGTAACACCCGAAGCCCAATATTTCGTCACGAGATACATCTATACCCGGCTTCCTGAAGTTAAATGAAGAGCATGCGTAGAACGCCGTCAAATTGCGTTCACGTGAAACGATCATTCTCGTCCTCCCATCATCTTTATCTAATTGCCTCGCGGACTGCTATGAATTATACAATATTGTGTGACTGTTGCAGCCTCCAGATACGGGTCATTCCTTCCGATCTCAATTTTATCACCAAGCCCCCCTAAAGAAAAGATATGCAAAGGAAATAATATCATTAACTCTGCTAACTCTACCTTTGTAATACTCTTACTTCGCATTTGATATTTGACCACAATGCACTGTCAGAAAGCCTTTAATTTCAAAGGTGTTACCTTTGTTTCAATCCGAATATTACGAAAAATGACAAGTGGACGATGCAAAGAGACGCCGGAACTAGTGTCTACGTTTTTGCAGTAGGCGACATCCGCGATTGAAAAATGTATGTGCGCTAGCGTAAGAGTTCATTTTCAATAAATAGCAAATCGTTTTAAGAAATAAGAGTCTTTGTTTAGATTTTCATTGATGCAAGTTGCTTTTCTCTAGGCACCCATTCAACACTTTTGAAAGATCAATTGAATAGAAGGTTGCAAGTTGTGCGAATATTAGCCCGCAACCTGGACACGGCCTGAATGCTCGAGTTGAAATACTGGCTTTTAAAGTTCGCCATGCATTTGCATCGAAATTCGCCCCAGTGGATTGTCACGACCATGTCCCACCTTAAGCTGCAGTCTAACGTACCTCACATACCTTCATTTGCAACTTGACTTTTGTTTACCCGTCTCTCTCTCTCTCTCTCTCTCTCTCTCTCTCTGTGTGTGTGTGTGTGTGTGTGTGTGTGTGTGTGTATAAAATTATGCAGCAATAAATTGGCCTGACCTGCGTTGATACGCGTCTTTTAACTCCAAAATGTGACGCATTTTCAAATAGCGCTAATCTTATCCGAGCATTCATCTGCCATACGTTTTCTATCACAATGATAGGAATATCTTCCAATAAACCATTCCGCTAAAATGCCATCACATTTTAGACTCAATCAACCACTTCAACGCTCATGCTTGTGTGGATCTTAAGACGTGACTGTTACTTAACCACCGATCTAAAAGATACGCGTGTTCATCAAGCTGATTTTAATTACCTTGCCACGATTTGCATTTCCTCACGGGACTGGGTGGGTCTTTTTCGGGGGAGTGGGAATCACTCAGCAGGCCCTCCCTTTCTGTCTTGTCGGATCCAAGAGACGACAGCGAGTGGGCACTGAGTCGTGTTCCCTTGTTCGCCATCCTTACCTGTCGGTAGCGATATTAGCAACTGTCACCAAAAATTGTTGCCCCTGTCAGCCTGTGATGCGCAATCTCAGTTTCAATTCGGCCAAAACCGGTTCAATAGAGTCGTAAATCGTAAATGTAGTTCTGGGATCAGTGAACACGTGCGTCAACACGGTTGGTGTTTACTTCTTGCGAGCGACGTGTGTGAGTGTGTGTTGGCTCATGTACGGGACGAAGCGAAATTCTGGCCGACTGCGTGTGCGCGTCGCGCAAAAGAAGTCGTTCTCAACACAGGTGCGTCAGTCGGGCAGTTACGGCGGATACTTGTCACCGGCCAGATCACGGCGTTAGAAACAGGACCGTGATTTGCAGAAAGCTGGTGACAGTTTTCACTGACACGAAAGGTATAGGACACATTCTTGCAGCATGACTGACTTGGTATGACTGGGATCGTGTTACATGTTTTTGTCGAGCTCAAACGCTCGCGTTGGATTCACGATTCCTTAGCGTGACTTGTTACATATGTTTACTTTAAGTGTAAAATAAAATTAAATAAATGTTTTTTTTTTTTGTTTTTCGGCGAGTCAGTTCCGGGTGGAGGGGACACTTCTTGAAGTTAAAGCCGTCATGGAGACATCTCTTGCCGTTGATGGACAAGTTCACGTGTCTGTACCTGTGACACATTGTCTTTGTTCTCTGTTGGTGTTTACAGATAATGGGAGACGTAAAAAAACTGCAGCGGTTTGGGGTGAATTGTACTCGCTAGTTCGATACATGACCTCAAACTCTGGGCTATTCTTAAGAAAAATGGCTGCATCTTGTTAACTGCTCCAATTAGCTAGGACAAAAAAGTACAGGGGCACTGGTGTCATTTTCCTTTGCATATTTTTGGTCTTGTCTTGTCTTGTCTTCTTTGTAAGGTTTTGTTGAAAATGAGAACGAATTGGCAACTCTCCATTCAAACGGCTTCTTTGGGTCTGGCCTTCATTTAACATCCGTCAGAAGTAGGTTTGAATTTTTTACCATTGTTGATGATGATGGTTTTGACATTTATCAATAACACCAAACATTCAGACGCGTTTTGCACGTATTTGCCTATGTCGTTCTGCACCGCTGAACCTCTATTGAATCAATGGTATTGTGTAAGCTGGTATATTGAGGACTACATTTTCAACGTTATAGAATTTATAACATTCAAATCTAGCAAATATTTGGTTGATAGTAGCCACCCCTTAAAAAAATAGTAGGCCTATTTGATACATCCCACAATTTTGTTAAAATGTCTCAATTTTTTTTTCGCTTATAGATAAGAGTTTCTCAATGGCATTGTTAAACTTAAAACCGGATAGAACTATTTGGAAATCTGGTATACTCTTCTTCCGACTCTTGTTAGAATCCTCAAATAACAAATATTTGGCTGTTTTCTACTCTTAATCAAAACGTAAGTGGAGCGGGTTTATTGTGTCTGTTTGTATTCAGGAGAACTTGATGCGTTGACTTGAAAAAAAAAACACTACACACGGATTACTGAAAGTAAGGGTGCATTTCCAGAGATTTAGATCGATCCAGAGATTCAGATTTAGTTCGACCTAACTCCCTGGGGGTTCACGCTAAATTGCAGTCAGTCGAGCGCGCACCATAGTTAATTACCCCCTTACAGCTTTTAGTAGGCGGGACAGACGCTTAAGCCGGCTAAGCTGACAGTATTCTAGTGAGACTCCCCGCGGGGATAGATCGATCTAAAAGCTCTGGGAATACAGCCTAATACTCCCTCCATTCACCCCCTTCAGTGAATCTCCTTTTTTAACGAAAACTGCACATGTAGGCAACAGTAATTTTTGCAGACAACGTGAAAAGGTAACTTAACCCGTCAAAACAAGCTTTATTTCCGCAATGCCTGTCATTGTGTGTCATCCTTATATATAGTGCTGTCCATTCCGCCAAGGTCGTGCAGACATACCAAAGACCACGTCTCATAATGCATAACCGCGAAGAAAACCGAGAGTCCGTCAGGGCTGATAATGTTCCATGCCTCCGGTGGCTAACCCTAGGAATCGAATTGTACTACTGGAAATCGTTCAACAACACAGGCCGTTCACAGAGCAAAATCATCTCTTTCATTATGACCGACTTCAATAAGCTTTTAGTATATAGTGACAGAGAAATGGGACAGTGTAGAAAAAACATTTATATGACTGGAAGGGGGTGGTGTTACCGTATATATGCTCTTCTTATTTACTTAACTTGAACATTACGCTGTACCTCATATACTATTATCGCTAAAATCGTCATAGCCTACTTAGACTCTCTCTCATTACTATGTAAATCAACATGTATATTATATCGTTATGTGCAAGTATTTTTTCCTCATTTTCTCATTGTGCGAATTGTTTGTGGAAGGTGTCTGTAAATCACAGTGTAGAAAACGTATAGTATTGTTTTGTGTATGTAATAAAGTATTAAAAAAGTATATAGTGACTGGTAGAGGACACCAGTATCATACAGTGCCCCCTCCAGCGTCGTACCTACACGCTATTCAGGATGGACGTTATTTTTCATGAGAACGTTACTCATCGCCTGAATCTTGTTTGCTGGATCTTTTCATACCTTTTCCTGGCAGCCATTGCTGAAGTAAGGGTTCCCCCCCCCCAAACCCCCCCAAAATCATTTGATTACTAGTGCTAAATACTAAATCTTCTTCTTCTTCTTCTACTACTACTACTACTACTACTACTACTACTACTACTACTACTTATAGTTATTATTATTGTTATTGTTATAGGAATTATTATTAGTATTACGGTGATGATGATCTAAAGAATAAGAAAGGGAAGAGCACGTGAACCAAATTATAATACATTGCATAGTTTAACGTAGATCTTCGGATGAGATTAGCTCAATTTGTTATCAAGTTTTGAATTAAATTTCATCACATTTGATCTTTGCCCTGGCCGCCGTTCAGTGAAGAAAGAAGATAGAATGACGACAAAAGAAAAGGGCGCACGCGTGCAGAAACTATATATTGGAAAGGGAGAAAATAGATCGCTGCCTTAAATTGAAAAATGAGTCAGAAAGATCATGAAGAAAAGACTGTGTATTTTGTAGCATTCGTGCATTTCTAATTTGAACTCAAAAAGAAGCCACGCGTAGTCAAAGGTGATTTTTTATGTTGCTCTTTTATCACTCTTTTATCAGCACCCATTATACTTACAACAGTTGAGTTTGGTCACGCTGGGTGCTGCAAAACAATTTTTTTCGCGGCCGTCAAATGTCCTTGGGTAAGGGACAATTTTTCATTCGATCTTAGTCCAATTGTGTTCTGTCACTGACCATAATATTGGAAATATTCTGTTTTTTACAACCTGGACTTCAGTTCCCCCATGTCTCTGCAAATATTAGTTGCGTCTATTGTGAAGACCCAGTGACATAAATCTTCTTTCATATTTGAACAACGACTTTTTTTAGCTAAGACTTACATTATGCACTGTAACACTATGCACTTCTTTATTATTTATCTTGTTAGAAAAGGACATTCTTCTTCTTTAAACAAAATATAGTTCTGTGCATCATAACTTGATTTTGTCCTCAAAGACACTACATAGTTTCATCTACCAGTAGGCTTAACATATATATTTTATTTTTCATTACTTTCTTCCGTTTATAAAAAACGGACAGTCGTCCGATTTAAGTCACTATGGTCGCGACCTTTAAGAACACATAGCGTAATCTGCTATATATATAATTTTATGTATTCAGCAAAAAAAAAAAAAAAAAAAAAATGCTCGATTGGACAAACTTAATCTTACGCTTTTTAAAACCCCTTCTATTAAAACTGTGATCGTCATAGGCCTAAACATTTAGTTTTATAACCACAGGTGACAGCAGGTTGAATTATGTTTTAGTAATGCTTTTTCTCACAACCTTTTTTCTACTCCCGTAATCTCTCTCTCTCTCTCTCTCTCTCTCTCTCTCTCTCGCACACACATACACACACAAGAGAATGATTCACTGATAAAACGATAAACTATGGAGAATAAAGATACAGAAAAGGCACTTTACAGTGTTTGAGCAAGACACAGTCGGCAAATATTCAATGGCACAGAGAAAAAGTTGAACCATGTCCCTTCCACTTCCATTTACAAGCGGATATAACATGTTCATGTGCCATTAAATTAGCCTTGTGTCCGACGAAAGAGGATCATTCGTCATGTCCACTTTCATTCTAGCACGCACGGTCAATGTGAAATCCTCAAGGTCTTAACAGAGCCCTGATGCTAACGCTAAAGACATGTTATCTAAAACTGGCGTCTCGTACTTTGACCACTGGCCCAGAAATGAAAGCCAAACATGGGTATATAATACACTCTGTATATTGACTCTTCCCTATAGTATGGCAACTTGCCATAAACACACCTTTCCAAAATGCAATAAAACCCATTGTCCTGAAACCCTGCACCTTGGATTTTTTGTTTGCTGTTTTTGAAGTTCTTACACAGATGATTGTGTTCTATCCCCGTATTTCGATGTGACAAACATCTTATTGTTATGGTATGACATAGACATGACACAGGAACGCAACGTATTTACAAAATCCGTAAATAATAAAAACATACTAACTGATGTTTACTTACGTTTACTTGCTATTATTTGTCCAACATCAATCCGACAGATACAAAAACATGTTTACGTAAGACGTGATCTCTCTTTCTCAGTTAAATGTATGTAGACCTCGGTGTGTGTGTGTGCGTGTGTGTGTGTGAGTTTCCTCGTGTGTGTGTGTATGTGTGTGTGTGTGTGTGTGCGCGCGCGCATGCATGCATGTTTTTGCTGTTAGTTATTGTCCAGTGTTTACTGTGCTGCTTGTCCAATTCTGTTTTCTTTCTCTGTAGGTCAGATTTTTCTTACCTCAGTTGATATAAATTCACACCATTTTCAGCCGCTGATATCAATGTTCCTAAAAAAAAGATAAATGTGTGTGTGTGTGTGTGTGTGTGTGTGTGTGTGTGTGTGTGTGTGTTTGGACGTGGGTGTGCGAGATATTAGGCAAAACCTTGACGAAAGTAACTTACGTGTCTTGTTATCGTTCTTCTTGGTTTGTTCATACTAGAAAAATAGAAAGAGAAAAAAGTATAGACAATACAAAGAGCTTAGAAATTTATTTAACAGCCATTATTGCATACGTATTTTTAAAATATTTTAAAATGCGTTTCAAAGACATTTATACAAAGTCTTATGTTAAATATATCATAGAAATAAGAAACAATCATGAAACAAACAAGTTAATATTAAGTGCATTATCTGTTCCTTTAATTTTTTTTATTTTTCTATTATAGACACTATTGACGTTTATAATGATAAACAAGGTAGACACACTACGTGTATAATGACTTTGGTGAATAAGATCATCTGCAGGGTAGTGTCTATCT